AAGCACGCCCATATCTCTCAAGTAAAAGAATCATACGACATTAGTTACCTATAGAAACAAACCTATTTTTAAAACACGTCTTCAGAGTTTAAATAGTGTAATAACAAAAGACAAACAAAGGAAGTATATTTTTTTATAATTTGTTTTTTTCTTTCTTTTTGTATTTGTTTACCTCATAAAATAATTATATGCTTGATTCCTACTAAAGTAGGTTACAATTCATGTTTGATAATTATGGCCTGTCAAAAAATACCCCCCGAAGATCAACATCATATCAACTGAATAGATTTTTATAGACACAACAAAATTTGTAATGAAAAAAAAAAAAACATACAGTGGCATTATTGTTGTTGTTAATTTCTCTACAAATGTAGAAAATATACATTATTTTTACATAAATATATATTTCAATCAATGAATTATATGTAAATCTATTGGATTCACATTACCGTTTTCCATTTGTAATGAACATCCAGTTGTGTTCTTGTATCATAAAATTAATTGTTTAAATGGCTCCCATTTATTTTCTGTTTTTTTTTTCTCCTATTTCAGATGAACTGTGAACAGTGGAGGAAGATTTTTCAATAATGTTATATTTTGTTTACTCCTAGAGTGCTATTAGACACAAGTGAGCTCAATCAACAAGAAAAACATATAGAACTTAATGAGAACAAGGAAAAAATAATCAAAAGATATCTAAACTATATGACCCAAAAATAATGTTTTGTTTTGATATCATAAGCTCATACTGGCAATTTGATTGTATTATATCATTTAATTTAAACCAAAAACCTTAAATTAACAATTTAACATTACCAAAAAACTATGTTCTAATCTCTCTTTTGTTTCATTTCAAAAACAACATAGGAGTGTTTCTTTAAGTTTACATTCATATAACAGGTCATTTATTTGTGCTAAAAAATCTGTATAAAATAAGGTACATGTATTGAAAAAAAATCAGTTTATTACTTTGAGTACAAAACACGTGAAAAAATCCATATAATCTTTTTATTACTTAATAAGTACAGTACACTTGAAAGAATCCATATAGAGATTATCCAAATGATCTTTTTCCATATGCAAAATTTCTTTCTATTTCATTTTGTGATTTCACAATAAATAGACAAAAATAATTTATCAAAATATGGGCATGATTTCGGATTGGTTTTCAAATACTCTAAACTATCACAAGCAAAGATGATTTTTTCATAGTTCTAGATGTGGTCCTTCCAACTACTTTGGATCATATGATATACACCATATATTTGAAAAAATACGTTTCAATATAAAATGTTTCTTTAAATTGATTAAAAGAGACAAAAGCATTGTTCTCATTCAGTAAATCATTGACATAAAATCTTCCTACCTCACACTATTTTTCATAAAATATAATTTTATTCTCGATTTTCAAAAGTTTATTAAACCAAATGGGATGCTTCAAGAAGTCTTTTTGGTCATAGGTTGCATATCTTATGTTAGCCTTATTTACCAGGATGTCCTTCCAAAACTATTAAAATATGCTGAAATTCGTTTAATACTATCCTTATTCATCAACCAATGTTTATCTGCACCTTTTTTCTTTTTTTCCGTTGAAATAATTTTCCCAGGGAGAAAGATTAAAAGGGTCTAATAATTTATGAATTCCTGTCATTTTCAGTGCATAACAGAAGGATGCAATATAGGGCATCTTTAGTCCATCAGTATCATATAATCCAATCAGAACTTTTTTTCAATTATATCTGGTTTGCCATTCAATAGAAACCGTAAAAAAATATTTTCAAATTTCTTAAAGTTTTCAAAAGAGTGATTTGGCAATATTGTTAATGACTAAATGAACATTGGTAATACAAAAGACTTTATATCTGTTGTTTTTTCCAGGTATAAAGGATTATGACAAATCCAAGTATTTAATAATGTTTCTCTTTTTTCAACTTTTTGTTTTGATTCAAAATTATATGAAGTCTTGTCGACAGCAAAATGATCATAGTTTATACCTAACAGTTCAAATTACCCTGTTTGATTCTGTTTAATTTTTCTTCGTGGAGAAATATTTCTTTGAATATACGTTACAGTCAATCCATATAGCCTCTGTTTGTGATAAATGTGTTCGTAGACCTGAATACTCGGAGAACTTTTCTAAAAATGTTTTAATGAATTTTCATCATCACCTAAAGTTAAAGTTGAGTCATCCGCATATTGACTAAGTAAAAACTCAGAGTTGTCGAACTTGATACCGTTAATGCTTCGGTTATTTTTCATTGCTGCACTTATCAGTTCTAAAGTCAATATAAAAAACGGTGAGGGGATAAGGGATACACAGGAGATACACATCTTTCTATATCAAAGAAACTAGTACAATGTCCACTATTGATTATACAACTTTCGATATTGAAACATACAAAAATCAAATCGATCAATGATTTCGTCAACATTTTTAGTTATGATTTATGACTTTAAAAAATATTTTTTCAATTGTAATGTCTTTTTTTCAAAAGATTTTTAAGAATCTTATCTGAAGTAACGGTATCCTCCGTTGTCGAAATGTCTAGAAGAAGAATAACTATAAGATACACACAAACAAATTGTAAGTATTATAACAAAATGAATCGTGTTTAAAAAATTAAAACATTATGAATATTTTCCTCATCATTTTCAGCATTTATATGCAACACCTATATTTAATTCTTGTCCACCTGTGTTGTTTACACTAACTGATCCTCTAGCTTCAAAATTTCTATCCTTATAAGCAATATTTAAGTGTCCCCCTGCCTGTCCACCAATCGATCTAAACAATCCATCTTCTCCTTGCCATTTATCAGCTACATGTTGTTCTATTTATTAATATCCCGCCAGTAGCGGTTATGTCGTGACGGTTATTCTTCTGTAAACTATGTTGAGCTGCCATAGCATAGAAATATTGTAAATAAAGTAATGGAACAGAATATTTGGAACTCCTGTAAGATAGAAATGATATATACATGTATATAATACGATATATATGTTGTGTACAATATGCAATAAAGGCAACAGTAGTATACCGCTGTTCAAAATTCATAAATCGATTAATAGAAAACAAATCCGGGCTGCCAACTAAAACCGAGGGAAACACATTAACTATAAGAAGAAAACAAAACAACAAAAGAAACACTGAACTGCAACAAACACAAACGCCAACATAAATAGAAACTTACTATTTGATAACAACTGCCATATTCCTGGTGCAGGACATTTTAAGAACAACAATGGTGGGTTGAACCTGGTGGATGGCTAGCCAAAATCTCCCGTGTTTATGGCAATGTTAAAACATACCGCTAAAATGACAACACTACGTTGAAGGACAAACAAACGGAAAAACAATCAGCACAGAGAAATACATAAATAAATAATAAAATAGTACATTATAACATGTAAACCGCAGAATAACAACGGATTTCCAAGTTCGTACAAATTATAATTTTTACAGGGTTTTTGTACAAGTTATTAAGTTTTTTGAAACATACCTTTTTGCACCAGGTGATAAATGTTTATCTCCTAAAATCTATCAGCTTTATGTCATGAATGTCTTAAATTCATATTTATATACTTCAACGTAATATTTAGTGCTATTCTCTTTGTCCTTAAATTGAAAATAAGGACACCTGAATGGTTTAAATTCTATTTTTATTTTTCTCTAATTTTTATCCATAAAAAGTCTTTTTGTTTCCTTATAATGTTTTTTTGTGTCAACTGGAATGATCAGTTTTAGACTGTACCATGTAGTCATGGAAATATGACAGAAATATGCGAAACCAAAGACTGTGAGCATGTTTCATCCATTTGTGTTAAGCGGTTCATAAACACTGATAACTTATACAAAAATCGTTTACAAATTATAATTTGTACAATTACAATTTGTACAAAACATATATATATAATTCGTCTAAAATATAGCCCAAAAAATGTTAAAACTTGCGTGCAAAGCGGGTTTCGAAGTATTGCTTCTGTGACATATTGGCAACACCGCTTGTACCATGTCTAGCGCCCTAGACCACTCGACTACCTAGGCTTAATAAAATATAGCTTTCGTGGGTCGATGTAATGCCTTTCCTCGTCGGCTTTTTTTAGGGTTGTGACAAAGTACATGATAATTTTACTTATCATGCCGTCATATCAAATTTTTATTTCATTATATATGTCTAATTGTGTGACAATTTTACGACAGAATTAATGCATCGGATAACATGTAGTTATACAGGTCGAAGATCATAAGTTATATATTCATAAGATTTGTTACCAAAAATATATTTCATAAATCCAGAATTCTAAAATGTGCCAGCTTTATTTTTCATTTAAGGTGTTTAATCGGAAAACAGAAAGTCGTCATGTTTTACAATACTTACAAGTCACAACTTTGTAATTTTTAATAATTCAAAGATTTTAAATTACAAAACATGTTTAACTTTTTTACTCAGTATAGTAGGTCTGTTGTTAAAAAATAGCTCACCACTATAAATACAAAATAATTAGAACAAACCATATATTAGGTATTTCCATGGATCAGAAAAAAAGTCATTTACTTGAAGGACTTTCTATGGATAAGTGGAAAGACCTTATAATAAGAATTTGAACAAAATAAAACATCTTTCCAAAGAAAATGTATAACTCAAAAGGTATAAATGCATTAAAACACACTAGTCTGGGAGCGTATTTATTCTAACCAGGTAAAGCTGTAGGTTAATAACAAACGGATCAGTAAACAATTGAGAAGAAAATTGTAAGATTTGTTTTAAATCTTTCATTAACTTTTTTTTTTGGGTGAAAATCAAGTTATTAATTGAAATTTAACATTTTTTTTGAATAGAGTTTTACCAAATCGCAAGCAAATTATGCTTTGACGAGTAAGTTAGTAACACATATTTAGTCATGTAAAAAAATGAAATATGTTTAAGAGAGGCAAAAGGTACCAAAGGTACATTTAGGTGATAGAACTTTATTATGAAATTATTATTATAAATAACAGAAACATCCTAATCTTTATTGAAATAAATCTATATATGATAAAATAAAATGACGATATTAATCAAGTAGCGATATGTGCATTTCCGCTGTCAAAATTCTATCAATTAATTACAAACATGATATATATATAAACACAATTGAAGCTGTATTGCCAGTGTTATATACTTAACTCAAATGATAAAAGACTACCAAATCATTAATATATATTGACAGTTTATTTTTCACAATAGAAGGTGACATAGTTAAAGTGTTATTCACACTCTTCTAAAAGTATATTACATTGTATGTGTTATTTTTGGAAAAACAAAATTCTTTCAATGTGTTGAATTATGAAATTAGTTAGCAAGGTTTTCACCTTGTATTTTAAGTACAACAAAAAGTACAATCGATTCTTTTTATAAATTTTTTTGGGTGAAACATATCTTTTCTATATGAAACTTCGCAATGATGGATACAAAAGTCTACACGCGCACTGTGTACATGTATTGTCAGTAAGGATTAATAATCAATTCAGAGAAAAAAGAATTGCTTTGTCATATCTATTTGCAACTAGTAACTGATTTGAACTTCTATTAAAACTAAGAGTCGTTGTATCTGAAAAACCATGACTGGCTGTAAGTATTTCCTTGTGTTGTTGTCCATCAGCAGATATAACTACTACATTTTTAGACGACTCCCCTACTACGTACACATTACCGTAGTTATCTGTAGAGAGACCAAGTGGGTTCTTCAATGCGCTTTCATTTTTAAATGACCACAGTGCTGTACCTTTCAGATCACTGCATGTCACGGAACTAGATTTGTAGTCTGTGTGATAAATTTTATCCCCAAATGATGCAACGTAACAAAAGGGAGGTAGTTTTGTTTGTACTAAATCAATTGTTGAATTGTTGTGCAGATTGGTTAGCTGTATTCCTTTTCCCGCTGCAGAACAAATAAATTTGTTATCTCTCAACGCTATGCCATAATAATCATAATCAATAGATATGCTTTCCTTTATTTTCTTGTTTTGTAAGTCGATTATCTCAAGGAACTTTCGTGAAGGTCCTGATGTAACAGCCAAAGTATTGTCTCCTCCTGAGTACGCTATGTCGAATGCCCAGTTCGGTGTTTTCACTTCAAAATCTTTTGATCCATCACTGTTGAATATTCTTACAGTGCTGTAACTATAATCCGTAAACGCAATTCTACCATCTGGTAACGTGCAACAGCCCATTATATTATTTCCTATAGAATTTATAGTTTTATGCAGCCTCAGAGTGATATTTTCAATTGACCTAGATAAGATTCGCGGTACTATGATTTGGGCTTGTTTTTCTTTTTTCCATGTCAGTTCGACAGCACAAGGTTTTGTCTGCATTTTAACTTCCCCAAAACTCTGGATTTCGGTGATAAACTTTTGTATGGCAGTATTGACCTGATAGGACAACCGACTTTCTTTACTTGTTCGTGTTTTGACCATGGACCGCAGGAGTTGTTCTTCAGTTAAGATATTTTTTTCCAGCTGCTTCATAGAAACAAATGTCTGAAGATCTGTGGCATGTTGCCTGATTTTCTCCATGTTTCTCTGGCATTTAGACACTTCATTTTCTTTCCCCTTTAATTGAGTCAGTAACACTTCAATTTGCCTGCTTTCTTTTTCCTCAGTTAAATTCAATGTATTTATTGTGTCATCTTGTATTTTGTCTAAATGGTTGTTGATTCTATTCCTGGTTTCTTTGATTTCTTGTAGAATCTTCATTTTCTTCTCAGACAACGTCTTCAGATTGTTTTGTCGGTTTTGTCGAATTGTTTTGATGTTTTCTGCGAGTTCGGTCAACGAATGTTCGATCTCATAGAAGGCGTTCGACGTTTTAATATTTTGGACTATATCAGCCAATTTGGCCAAATCTCGACATTCGCTATGATTTTCTACGATACAACTACTGCAGCAAGGACATTCATGCTTTTTACAGTAAATCACATACCTTTCGTTATGTTTGTCACAGTTTTCAGTGATTTGAAGAATATCACTTGGTAACTTCAGGTATTCGGTAATTGGTGTAGTATTATGATGTCGTGTTCCTTTTGACAGACTGTGATGGTCTTGACAATCGACGCAAAGTCCTTCGTCACATTCATTACACCAGGTTATAGGTGGTTTTGAGATATTGCGGAGATCACATACACCGCAAACTGGCGTTGACAACGCCATTTAAAACGCTTACTATAAAAGAAAGAAGACAAAGGATAGTTAAATTAAAGTAGTCGGCAGCGCTTTGAACATTTCATTTTAGCATGGTTAGTATATTTTCAACTGGTTGATATAAAGACAAATTGAAGGAAGGCGTCAGTTCAATAAATTCCGATCATATATTTTTTATAAAACAAATAACGTTTTTTTTCTAATTATGGTCTTCGTTTTCAAATATATCATAGATAATTTATGGTTGTGAGATTTTATTTTTTTTTTTATTTATTTTATATTGAAATATATCAATCATACGGGTTGGTAGTAGTTTCTTCTCATCTATATAAGACCAGTCAGTGGTGCTCGAATCAAAACAGTTGAATGGCCAAATGAAAAACGAACTTGAAGAGCATTGGTAACCAAAAAGTCTGAAATGTTGCCAAATAAGGCTAAGGCATTTTATGCTTAAAAGTATGATAATCCTTAGTGCTTCGAATAATTCAGCACGTTAAACAGTAAATTTACAGCATATGAACGATTAGATATAACTTGTGTCAGTCAACATTAAAGTATTTTTAACTAATTGGATATTGACACAGTAGTCAACACAATAATGTAGTGCTGTTTACACTGTTGTTCGTCTTTTCGTCGGTTTTTCAATTTGGCAAGCTGTAATTGTCGTTTTCTTTTTAACTTATGAATTTAGAGGGTCCCCTGGTGGTTTCCTTGGCCAGTTTTTTCGAACCTTACATCGTTGTTTTGCAAAAGAGGGCTTACAAAGTGTAAAATCTGATTGTCTGCACTTTTCAAAATATGGGTTGTTATGCTTCTTATTAAAGATATATACACTTCATATCAATGATGATTGTCTCCCTTGCATTACATTTTTTTTAACAGGTGAAAATGGAAAATTTTGATTAGAAAAAGAGAAGAATGTATCCTGTGGACAAATATACATAATGTGTACATACATATCTGCTGAGCTACTGCGTCAAAAGAGCGAAATGAGTGTAGATATTTCCTTTCTTCAATAAACCCACCAGGAAGGTAAACAACAGGTAAATTTTGATTTGTAATGACGGCGGCAGTCGTGTGCAAAAAAGTATCGAGTGGTAATGGCGGTATATTTAAAAAAAAGTTTGATGAATAATGGCATGCTTAATTGCTGATACGTTATTTTGCTGTAAATAAAATGTAGATATTGTTTAAAAATGTATAGAGTCTGACTCTAAGTATTATATAATGAGAATATAATAAAGCAAATATGCTTAAACAATAAATTAACAAATAGTGAAATAAGTAGATTCTGCAAGGTTTGTCGAATGTTTTTGTAAGCTTCAAAATAGCGGGAACGTCACCAAGAAGGGCGGTTTGGTTAAGCGTCGCATAGTAGAGGCGATATTTCAACTGTTTCGGATTTTACTGTGACACACTTACCTGATAAAGAATCACCAGTTCTTGATAACGACCGTAACTTTTTGGGTTAATGAGATTTGTAAATGTAGGAAGACTCAAATGGAAATTATAAATCATTAGAAAAACAAACAACACTATACGGTCTAAAGAAAAGCGAAGAAAGGACAAACAGAACGCAAAAGACCAAGCTCAGAACACCAAAAATTGAGCAACTAGAACCTCATCTAAAAATTAAAAAAAACCATGGATAAAGTCATGAGCTAATACATTGTCATTACTTGCTGCTCCATTGCAGCTGACCCCATTGTATAACTTCTGTAAAATGCATCCCAAAAGATATATCCTGCAAGGTATCATACAGTGGCAGATTAATTAATTTTGTTTTGTCTATCATTACAAAATGTACACGTAAAAGTTCTTACTCTTATGTAAAATGTATTGTTTTAAGAAAAAACAATCGATATTAAAAGAGAGGCGAAAGATACCAAAGGGACATTCAAACTCATAAGTCGAAAATAAACTGACTACGCCATGGATAAAATTGACAAATGTCTCAGTACAATAACATAATCATTGAACTGAAACGTAACATAGCATTTTCATAACAATCAATGAAAGCGACTTAAATGTAAATTGTCGTTGATGGATTTATTCGTACCAGTAAATATAGTGCTCTAAGAACCAATAAAGTAGTTGATAAGTTTTCTCTGCAACCCATTACAATGATGGAAAAGTAGTCTCTGTGATCCTTTAAAATGGCTGATATGTGTTCTCTGTGAACCATTAAAATGGTTGAAAAAATTGAGAATGGAAATGGGGAATATGTCAAAGAGACAACAACCCAACCAAAGAGCAGACAACATGTTTTCTATCAACTATTAAGATTATTTTGAAATGTTTTCTGTGAACTATTACAGTAATAATATGAATGATTGATAAATGTTCTCTGTGGACAATTCAAATGATTGATATGTTTTCTCTGTGAACCATTTAAATGGTTGATAATTAGTGTTCTCTGTGAACCGTTAAAATGGTTTTAATTGTACATAAAGTGTTCTCTGAGATTATTAAAATTGTTGATAAGTGTTCTCTGTGAATCATTTGAATGGTTGATACAAGTTCTCTTTGAACCATTAAAATGGTTGGTAAATGTTCTCTGCAGTAAAACATAATTAAAGTTGATACATATTCTCTGTGAACCATTAAAATGCTTGATATTTCAGATAGGTTGATATGCAAACTTTGCGAAACAACATAATGGTTGAAAAGTGTTCTCTGCGAACCAATAATATAAATGGTCGATTAGTGTTCTATATGCAACATTAAATTGGTTGGTAAGTGTTCTCTTTGAGCCATTTAAATGGTTGATACGGGTTCTTTTTGAAAAATTAAAATAGTTGATAGTTTATCTCTGCAAAACAGTAAACAGTTGTTATGAAACTCTGCGAACCAGTATAATGATTGAACATTGTTCTTTGCAAACCAATAAATGGTTGACAAATGTTCTCTGCGAATCCATAAAATATTTGATTTGATATATAATACATTACGCATGGTAATTCGTGTCCAGTAGATCAGTGGTTAACCTAGTATCTTGTACATATGAGGGTCTGAATGCGCGTCCTCCATTTCTGCATTCTTAAATGTTTTATGCCACTTTTCTCTATTCTTTATACTTTTTGTCCATTTAGCACCTCATTATTTTCTATTCTTTATTTTGTAGGTCTATTATTCTCTATTCTGTATATTTTTTGCCAACTATTCTCTATTCTGTAAACCCCCATCCACACCCTCACATAAACATTCAATTGATATGCATATATTATATCAGTGTAGTAAATATATCTTAACATGGATAGAGTGAAGTGTATTATATTTTGTGTTCTCATAATTTTGACTTTTGTCAAATTTACTGTTAGTCATAATCATCAGAACTATTATGATGGACTGATCAAAAAGTTCAGCGACGATGGAAAGCTATCACGTAGTCAATTTCAAAAACTGGTCTTGGACGTAACATCTCAGAAACTACCACCTGCATTTATAGTTGATTGCAAGGATAAAACAGAAGATATAGACTGCTTACAAAATGAAACAATTCAAGTAAGAGCATTCAAATAAATTTGTCTGGTCTGACAACCAAACTTGACGTGTTGAACTCTCATAGCAAATACAAAAAAAAATCGTTGAATCCTACTTCCATAGCACTGTTGTATGCACGTTTTGTTCGATGCAATTTTACAATTTACGTTATCAGTTGATATCAAATTTATACAAACGAACGAGATACTGAGATTCACTTAAAAGTATTTAAAATTCGAAACACGATCATAAAGTTCATTTAGTTTTTGCTTTTTTCAGGAATAAATAGTCTAGAATTAATTTTTCAACAATTTTAATGCATGCTTTTTCTACGGATTGGAGATATACATAACTGTAGAATAGCTTCCGTAACATCAAATATTCTTTGATACTGTATTTAATTTCACTTGTAAAGCTTGCGCAGTATCTGCTTACCCTTCCGAAGCACCTAAAATCATACCTTGGTATTTGATAGTTTTCCTGTCGCTCAGTCTTCAGTTTTCTATTTTCTGTTTTCTATACTGTTGTTTGTCTTTTGTTTGTTTTTCGTTTTTTGCCATGGCATTGTCAGCTTGTCCTCGAGTTAAGGTTTGAATATCCGTCTGGCATCATTCGCTTCTTTGGTACATTTAGTTGTGTTGTATTTAATACCGTTATTCTTAATTCAAGGGTTCTTTCTTAGCTGTAGCTTTTCGTATTATATTGATTATAAGCAATAATGTGAGAATCTTTGCTATGCTGTTTCGAATGGGTTATTTTTTCAAAAGAAAATTGAACATAATTTGTTTCTTGTCCTTTATTTAAATCATATCAAGCTGCTTCCGGTAAAACTTAGTGCGTAGTATAAGATATCAAACGACATAAACGCTATTACTAAATTTAACGGTACCGATTTTTCTGCACAAGATGCATATATTTAACAAATAATATCTCATCAGTGATGATCGGGCCCCAATATTAGAATATCCGAACACTAATAAAACGTTAAATAGCTGATCAAACCAAATAAGGACCTAAAGTATTAAAGTCAAATCCGGACAAGGAAACAGAGCTTTCCATGAGGGAAATATACTCCTCAATTTAAAATTCACTCTCAAAATTTATAGCAGCCTAAAAGGTTTGTAATCATTTATTTTGTTAGTTAACCATTGTTCAATCCAGTTACATTTCACCAACTATCTAAATGATACATGTAGACACAGTACTCATACGGACTGTTTATCATTCTCAGCCAGATCTTCTCCTATGCATAAGTTCATGAAGGACTCGGTTATTCAACTGTTAAAATCTAAATACTAGACGTATACAATTAAAGATGCAGAGGTTATATATACATTCAATTGATATGCATATATTATATCAGTGTAGTAAATATATCTTAACATGGATAGAGTGAAGTGTATTATATTTTGTGTTCTCATAATTTTGACTTTTGTCAAATTTACTGTTAGTCATAATCATCAGAACTATTATGATGGACTGATCAAAAAGTTCAGCGACGATGGAAAGCTATCACGTAGTCAATTTCAAAAACTGGTCTTGGACGTTACATCTCAGAAACTACCACCTGCATTTATAGTTGATTGCAAGGATAAAACAGAAGATATAGACTGCTTACAAAATGAAACAATTCAAGTAAGAGCATACAAATATATTTGTCTTGTCTGACAACCAAACTTGACGTGTTGAACTCTCATAGCAAATACAAAACAAAATCGTTGAATCCTACTTCCATAGCACTATTGTATGCACGTTTTGTTCGATGCAATTTTACAATTTACGTTATCAGTTGATATCAAATTTATACAAACGAACGAGATACTGAGATTCACTTAAAAGTATTTAAAATTCGAAACACGATCATAAAGTTCATTTAGTTTTTGCTTTTTTTCAGGAATAAATAGTCTGGAATTAATTTTTCAACAATTTTAATGCATGCTTTTTCTACGGATTGGAGATATACATAACTGTAGAATAGCTCCTTAACATCAAATATTCTTTGATACTGTATTTAATTTCACTTGTAAAGCTTGCGCAGTATTTGAGTACCCTTCCGAAGCACCTAAAATCATACCTTGGTATTTGATAGTTTTCCTGTCGCTCAGTCTTCAGTTTTCTATTTTCTGTTTTTTATACTGTTGTTTGTCTTTTGTTTGTTTTTCGTTTTTTGCCATGGCATTGTCAGCTTGTCCTCGAGTTAAGGTTTGAATATCCGTCTGGTATCATTCGCTTCTCTGGTACATTTAGTTGTGTTGTATTTAATACCGTTATTCTTAATTCAAGGGTTCTTTCTTAGCTGTAGCTTTTCGTATTATATTTATTATAAGCAATAATGTGAGAATCTTTGCTATGCTGTTTCGAATGGGTTATTTTTTCAAAAGAAAATTGAACATAATTTGTTTCTTGTCCTTTATTTAAATCATAGCAAGCTGCTTCCAGTAAAACTTAGTGCGTAGTATAAGATATCAAACGACATAAACGCTATTACTAAATTTAACGGTACCGATTTTTCTGCAAAAGATGCATATATTTAACAAATAATATCTCATCAGTGATGCTCGGGCCCCAATATTAGAATATCCGAACACTAGTAAAACGTTGAATAGCTGATCAAACCAAATAAGGACCTAAAGTATTAAAGTCAAATCCGGACAAGGAAACAGAGCTTTCCATGAGGGAAATATATTCCTCAATTTAAAATTCACTCTCAAAATTTATAGCATCCTAAAAGGTTTGTAATCATTTATTTTGTTAGTTAAACATTGTTCAATCCAGTTACATTGCACCAACTATCTAAATGATACATGTAGACACAGTACTCATACGGACTGTTTATCATTCTCAGCCAGATCTTCTCCTATGCATAAGTTCATGAAGGACTCGGTTATTCAACTGTTAAAATCTAAATACTAGACGTATACAATTAAAGATGCAGAGGTTATATATACATTCAATTGATATGCATATATTATATCAGTGTAGTAAATATATCTTAACATGGATAGAGTGAAGTGTATTATATTTTGTGTTCTCATAATTTTGACTTTTGTCAAATTTACTGTTAGTCATAATCATCAGAACTATTATGATGGACTGATCAAAAAGTTCAGCGACGATGGAAAGCTATCACGTAGTCAATTTCAAAAACTGGTCTTGGACGTTACATCTCAGAAACTACCACCTGCATTTATAGTTGATTGCAAGGATAAAACAGAAGATATAGACTGCTTACAAAATGAAACAATTCAAGTAAGAGCATACAAATATATTTGTCTTGTCTGACAACCAAACTTGACGTGTTGAACTCTCATAGCAAATACAAAACAAAATCGTTGAATCCTACTTCCATAGCACTATTGTATGCACGTTTTGTTCGATGCAATTTTACAATTTACGTTATCAGTTGATATCAAATTTATACAAACGAACGAGATACTGAGATTCACTTAAAAGTATTTAAAATTCGAAACACGATCATAAAGTTCATTTAGTTTTTGCTTTTTTTCAGGAATAAATAGTCTGGAATTAATTTTTCAACAATTTTAATGCATGCTTTTTCTACGGATTGGAGATATACATAACTGTAGAATAGCTCCTTAACATCAAATATTCTTTGATACTGTATTTAATTTCACTTGTAAAGCTTGCGCAGTATTTGAGTACCCTTCCGAAGCACCTAAAATCATACCTTGGTATTTGATAGTTTTCCTGTCGCTCAGTCTTCAGTTTTCTATTTTCTGTTTTTTATACTGTTGTTTGTCTTTTGTTTGTTTTTCGTTTTTTGCCATGGCATTGTCAGCTTGTCCTCGAGTTAAGGTTTGAATATCCGTCTGGTATCATTCGCTTCTCTGGTACATTTAGTTGTGTTGTATTTAATACCGTTATTCTTAATTCAAGGGTTCTTTCTTAGCTGTAGCTTTTCGTATTATATTTATTATAAGCAATAATGTGAGAATCTTTGCTATGCTGTTTCGAATGGGTTATTTTTTCAAAAGAAAATTGAACATAATTTGTTTCTTGTCCTTTATTTAAATCATAGCAAGCTGCTTCCAGTAAAACTTAGTGCGTAGTATAAGATATCAAACGACATAAACGCTATTACTAAATTTAACGGTACCGATTTTTCTGCAAAAGATGCATATATTTAACAAATAATATCTCATCAGTGATGCTCGGGCCCCAATATTAGAATATCCGAACACTAGTAAAACGTTGAATAGCTGATCAAACCAAATAAGGACCTAAAGTATTAAAGTCAAATCCGGACAAGGAAACAGAGCTTTCCATGAGGGAAATATATTCCTCAATTTAAAATTCACTCTCAAAATTTATAGCATCCTAAAAGGTTTGTAATCATTTATTTTGTTAGTTAAACATTGTTCAATCCAGTTACATTGCACCAACTATCTAAATGATACATGGAGACAGAGTAAACAGACTCCTTTAAACGGACTGTTTATCATTCTCAACCAGATCTTCTCCTTTACATAAATTTATGAAGGACTCGATTATTAAACTGTTAAAATCTAAATACTAGTATATAATTAAAAATGCAGACGGTTATATGTATATCAATATTTCTCAGTCAGATAATGGATACAGGGACGTGGTTGCCCACATATTTGTAACTTAATAACATGAATGTCACGTCACTTCATAATTTTGTTAAATCAGCTTATGCAAGGACACAAACTGAAAAGATTGACACTGATTTTTTTTAAATTTCTATCATCCATTAGCTACAAGTATATGTAGGCATATTTACAAATAGTTTAAATGAAAAATATTGTATATTCCATCAATATAAGTATATATCTCAGATACTCTATCATTTATTTACATATACCTGACAACACTGTTACAAAAACTAGTATTGTTATCAAGATCGTCCAGTTTCCGTCTAAAAGACCATCTTGTTGCTGAGAAAATTATTATATTTTTTTCAAATTATACAAATCATTTTCTGGTTTTCTACGTCTTATTTGTGTTGCGATTTGATTTGCACTTTATAACGGGCTCATAAATACCAGATCTCTTTCTGATTTTGCTTCTGGTTTTTCGTTGTTTTTTGTTTTGTTTTTTTTTTTTGGGGGGGGGGGGGAGAAGGGGGATCAACTGTTGTTGTTTTTCGTTTGACAAGAATCTTTGGTCTATCCAAGATATTATAAATAAAGTGTTTCATGTTTATGAACAGACATGTAAGACAGTTAAACAGATCTTTTTTGTAGGACTTTTCTTATAAGCGTTGACATTTACACCCGAAATAAGCCAAATTAGAAATTTTGGTAAAAGTTGACTAAATCGTCTGGATTTAAACCACAATAAGGCCTAGGAAAAATAGAGCGCAGGGTTCGACAAACTTCATATTCAAGTCAGATATATAATTTGTCATAATAAACATAATGTCAAAAGATATTTTTGTCGACGCATGCGCTGTATGTTGTCTGTCAGAAAAGCGAATGGACATTTACGTTTCATTTTTCTTTGAATTTCGAGAAAAATTTAAATTTGTGCTATTCGTAACGTCACGGAAAGAAGCCTGATTCTTAAATTTTCAGCAGAGAGATTTATTTTCTTTCTAGCAATTGTTACAGGAATGTTTTATTGTGATAATGGTCAGTGAATCCTTATTTGAAATTTTAGGTACAATTAGGGGTCATATTGGGTCCTTATCGGACTTACTCCTTTGTTGGACTATTTCTCGACAATTTATAAAGTTAAGTGTAACATTATCCAAAATTCATTTAGATTCTGATATAGTTTGAATTCTCGTTAACCATTGGAACAAAATGTACATGTAGGTGGAAGTATTTTAGAAATCTGAATTAATATAGAAAAGTCAAATAAATTAAGAACATTGAAGACACATTTCGAATGACTATGACCACTCCATTATTCCGATTCTTAATCTCCCTTCGCTCATAGGTCAGGGTTTAAGAAAATGCATGTGGTCTTCACCTATAAATGTCAAAATTTCGTGTATAATACCTCTAACTTTAAATCTTTAATGTCGAGCTTAGTTGAAGGCGTGTTTGACCGGGAATGACCGGGAAACGAAAACCGTAAGGATTTTAAAATAAAAGTGACATTTATATAGAATATTTTTTTGTTTTGAATGATAAACATTCTGCAATGGGTATATAGATATAAGAAGATGTGGTATGAGTGCCAATGAGAAAACTCTCCATCCAAGTCACAATTTGTAAAAAGTAAACCTTTATAGGTCAAAGTACGGCCTTCAACACGGAGCCTTGGCTCACACCGAATAGCAAGCTATAAAGGGCCCCAAAAATGACTAGTGTAAAACCATTCAAACAGAAAAACTAACGGTCTAATCTATATAAAAAACGATAAACGAGAAACACTTATGAACCACATCAATAAACGACAATCACTGAACAACAGGTTCCTGACTTAGGACAGGTGCAAACAAATGCAGCGGTTTAAACGTTTTAACAAGCGCCAACCTTCACCCTAATCTATTTGGACAGTTGTTTTTAAAGACGTAAGTGACCATTCCTTCCATTCATAAAACTTAAGAGAACCATTGTCGGACTCAGAGTAAAAAATCGAACAATTTTAATACTGGATTTGGTCAGTGTTGGCGGGCACAAATTTTTGACTCCGAGAACCGAGTTAGGTCTTAAAACTCAAAGGCCATAAGTCCTAAATCGGAATACTTTTCCTTTGTTCTTGACAAAATTCCTAGAACGATAATTGCTACAAATGAATAACTAGATTATTTTAAATTAAAAGCGACTTCCGGGATTGAGAACTCACTTCTTCACTTCTGATTTATAACAAAACTAGCATCATAAGATAATTCAAATAATTCAAATACACAACATATATATAACAGGCTATCGGTATATAGCAAAACAAATTGGTTTAGTAGCAATCTACAACACAGATCATAAAATTATTGTAACTTCCATACCGATAGCCGGTAATAGGGTTTGAAATGCAGGACTTCATATTAAAGATCATAGTTACTAAAAAAAAGTTGACATGCTCTTATAAAAACAAACAACAACATTTTAATTATAATTGTTCATAATTGCGTCATTATTGATATTTTTGTTTTGTTGTTTTGTAGTGCTTGGGATATGATGAAATATTTAACAAATATTCAAACAGTCATGGAATGGATCAGATATCGTTGGAAGCGGCTGTTCCAGCACTGTTGTATTACACGCAGGATGTTGACTGTAATATTGTGCCTGAACTCCATAGTAAACACAAAAAGCCTACATCAGCTCAAGGTTCTTAAATATTCATTCTGTCCCCCCCCCCCCCCCCCCAACCTCTTTTACAACAAAGGGAAAACAAAAAAAGAGAAACATTTATCTAGCAGAAAACAAAACATAGTCAAAACGACAAAAATACACATTATATACGATTTGTTAAAATGTAGCTTTTGGTTTAGATTATTGTTTTCTCAGATTGCTTATTTGTTTTTATCCATTTTTGTAGTATTAACTATGCAGATGGTGGTCTCTGTTTCATTTTTTCGCAAGTTGTGATACAGGAGACTTTTATGGTTCACTATATGTTATGGTTTTTGCTTATTGCTGGAGGCCGTATGGTGACGTATAATTGTTCCTATCTTTGTTTTTTGATCTAGTAAATAGATATTAATCTCATTGCCAATCACATCATATCTTATTATATTTGTTTTTCATTTATTTGAAAAAGGGGGTATGACAAGAAAATCATTATTTAATTAGAAAAACGATTTTATATGAAAAGATACCAAAGGGACATTCAAACTCACAAGTCGAAAACAAACTGACAACGCAATTGCTAAAAAAGAAAAAGACAAACAGACAAACAACAGTACACAAAACACAACAAGGAAAATTAAATACTGAGCAACTCCAACAAAAACTGGGGTGATCTCTTGTGATCCGGAAGGGTAAACAGATCCTGAAGCACAAAGTCACAATCGTGGATAAGTGAGGACTGGGGAAAGAGCTGGAATTCCACTGACACAATGGAACATATCCATAACGATTAATCAAGTCAGGAATGATGGAGACCGCTAGATATTGTAAGTGATTACTTTTACAGCACTATTTGGAACAGTTAGTTAACTAGTTTCATCGTAAGCAGCAACTCTCTATAGAGGAAACACAAGGAATTGGAAAATAGTATCAACTTCGAAATATGTTTTGCATGAATCTTAAATGGAGAATTTCAATATTAAGAGAATACTACTATAGAGATACATCTACATGCAGGCAATATTTGACTTTGAGATGAAGAACAGCAATACAAGCGCTGTTCATTTGTTTTTTGTGTTTTTTTTCTGTGCATGTACAGATTTTGTGTCATGGATGGATACCCCATCTCCTTTGTTTTTCTATTAATAAAAAAAAACAATTCATCGCTGCACACACAAAATAGATGTATAGTTTAGCTATGCAAACTATATAACTATATTTTTTGCAGCTTGGGGTTATGGTATTGGATTTGTGAGTTTAATAGTGTTTGTGTCTAACGTTGGCGCATTACTTGGACCCTGTATGAAAAGCAAACTTTTCAAACGAATTCTGATGTTTTGTGTTGCTTTAGCGGTTGGTACTCTAGCAGCAACTGGACTACTAGTCCTAATACCTGAGGTAAAAGACAAATAATTATATTTTTTATCTATTTTTTCCTAACTTGGATCAAATAACTTTCCCCTTTAGAGTAAAATTTCTATTCAAACAGATAACTCGAAATGTGAAATGAACTTCTTGTTTGCCTTCATAGAATTAAGTTGAAGTTGATTGTATATTATAACAACTAAAAACATGCTTTTTGTGTTTGTTTTTGGTTTGTTAATTACTTTTTAAATAATATAAATCCTTCCAGAATTTGAAAGCTATATATCTTTTTGTAGTTAGTTTTTAACACATTTATCTTGCTGAAGAGTTATTTCAATACTCAACATCTGGCATCATAATACCATCATAATCAAGTCTAATGCTGTAAATTAACATCTACAGATTTGTTTACACTTCAAAACATATATATAAAAATAAGAAGATGTGGTATAATTGCAAACGAGACAACTCTCCACAATAGACCAAATGACACAGAAATTAACAACTATAGGTCACTGTACAGCCTTCAACAATGAGCAAAACCCATACCGCATAGTCAGCTATAAAAGGCCCCGAAGTGACAAATGACAAACAATTCAAACGAGAAAACTAACGGCCTAATGTATGTACAAAATAATGAACGAAAAACAAATATGATACACAGAAACAAACGACAACCACTGAATTACAGGCTCCTGACTTGGGACAGGCACATACAGAATGTCGCGGGGTTAAACATGTTAGCGGGCGCCCAACCCTCCCCCTATCCTGGGACAGTGGTGTAACATATACCTCTTTTTTCTTCTTCTGTAAGTTAATGAAAACTTTGAATGAAGGTTTCTGCTGCAACTCAAATAACAGTGTAAAGATAGATAAAATTTATGCAATACTATCGGAGTGCGTTCCATGACCAGGTTAACCTTAACTAGCGAGTTAGTCCGCTTACGTTTCAAACCCTTGCTTGGTTAATTATCGAACTCTTAAATTAAATTAGTCTAACATGTATACGTTAAAACTCTATAAGCGGTTAATTCAAGTGGTTCAGTCCTCTAAATAAACCTTAGTAAGGTTACAGAGAAGAAAAGGCGTCTTGTATTAAAAAAGGAAGGTAGCAAACCGATTTCCGTGAGCAAGGCACGTGTTTCTAAGATAACTTTCATCCATACCAAATTCTTGAATAATCAGTCCCATATTTTCGGAAACCTAGAGCCTACCAGCAGTAGTCCTTTTCCAATACGTATAAAAGAAAAGAAAATTGAGAATGGATACTGCTCACCGTTGGCACGACACGTAATTTACAAATCTGACTAACAAAATTCCCGGACGACATATATTTTATTAAACAAAATAACATTTTACAGTGATACAATATTTGTCTATTTAGTCATTAAAATTAATGTTGTACGATAAAACGAATGCTGGTATAAGTTATATGAACTTAAAGTGCTTTACATATTGTAGTCTTTGGGATTAACCGGAGAGAACAGTCCCGTCCCTGATTATAACTGGAAAATGACATCAGTCATTGGAGGAATATATTTTGTATTCGTCTGTGAGAGACTTCTAAAAATGTGGTTCTTCAGAAAAAAGGTGAGTTAATTACTACAGCAATGCAGCCAGCAAACGTATGAAACTAAATTGGCGTTTTTAATGTTCAAAATTAATAGCAAATCATGCAAATTGTGATTAAAATTTTTGGAAATTATAATATTCATTTAAGCAATTCACAAGTGCGTCATATTTTCCTTAACAATGTAACTCGATTAAGTCTGCGCACTCTAGCGCCATGTAGCCTATCGAGGTAAATGTAGCAATCGGAGATAAGTCGGAGATCGGTGGAATATAACGACTGCCATTATTATCAATGAAGAACATAAATTATTAGTAACTGTAGTAGAGTTATTGCTCGTTGAATAGTAATTTAATTATTTTTTACAATGTGAAAGAAACATTTATTTGTAGTTGTTACAAGTCTCTTTGACCTGTACTGTAAGTCAAGTTAACTAAAGCCTTTTTCAATTGATTTTTGAAGTATGTTTTTATGTTGTGCTGTTACACCACTGTACCAGGTTGGGAGGGTTGAGCGCTCACAAACATGTTTAACCGCGCCACATTCTTTATGTGCCTGTCCCAATCAGGAGCCCGTAGTTCAGTGGTTGTCCTTGGTTCATATCTGTCATATTTGTTTTTCATTAATTGGTTTATTATAGATTATGCCGTTAGTTTTCTCGATTGAATTATTTCATATTTTTCATGACGGCGACTTTTATAGCCGACTATACGGTATGGGTTTTTTCATTGTTGATGGCCGTACGGTTGCCTATAATTGCTTACATCCACTATATTTGAACTTTGGTGGGTAGTTGTCTCAATGGCAATCATACCTCATCTCCTTATTTTTATATGCTGTAAACAATTTAGCACAGTTTTGCGATGATTTTTTTTTGTTTAATATCTCTCAGATTTTACATGTAAATACATTTTTCAGACATTCACTATTTTTATTAATTTATAGTTGAACAAAATGGTAATGTGGTCTTCTTCAAATTGATGTGTACTGGTTGCTTATCCTATTTGCGGTCTGCGTTTTCTGTGAAAATTACGGACAGCAGCTCGGAATACTAAGATTAGGGAGCTACCATTTCATTTTGGGGGGGGGGGGGGGGGGGGGGTAGGATAAAATTTGAAGAAAAAAAAGGCAGGACAGGAGTTTTGATTAAAAAAAAAAACCGGATGAGTAACTTGGCAAAAAACAAGGCAGGATGACAATTTATGTAAAAATAAGTCAGTAAAAACTAATAAAAAAAAGGCAGGACAGAGATTACAACTAAAAAAATGCAGAACAAAATTTTTCATCCTAGCCCCCACCCCATAAAAATCAAATGGTAGCTCCCTTAACAATATTATATTACAACAAGCGAAAATAATAGATTTCAGACCAATACCTTTCATTTCCTCAAAAAATAAAACTCATTTGCGCTTGCTGTGAAACAAGAGAAAAGCGTGTAGAACTTCACTTTTATTCATCTATATACCGCTAGTAAAAGTTGATTCCATAAATTCTAACAATGTACAGTTTGTGCTTGTATTAATCATTTATCAACTGTTTGTTACTTCTTTAATGATATAATCTAAAAACCAGATATATTGAATTTATCGTGTTTGTTAATAAATTGAATATCTCTCTATGAAATGACAAACTTTTGCGGTACAACAAAATGTGTTAACTAAAATATTTCTGTCTAGGTACAGGCATTTTACAAAGAAAATGATGTGTTAAACCTGGTTTTATAGCTAGCTTAACGTTCAAATTGTATGACAGTTGTTTAAAATATCATTGGAAGATACCAAGATCTTGTTGATAAATATTCCGTATCAACTTCACAAATAATACATGATCTTTCAATCAGTTTAATTGGGGTCTGGAGCTAGCATGTCAGTAACTGGTAATAGTCCTTTGTTAATTTATGTACCAATGTCATTTTGCTTAGTTTCTTCTGTTACCTATTCTGACATCGGACTCGGACTTCTTTTAAACTGAGTTTTACTGTGTGTATTGCTGTGTGTTTATGTATTCTACATTGGCTAATGGAATGGGGGGAGGGGGGAGATCTCACAAAACATGTTTAACCCCGCCGCTTTTTTGCGCCTGTCCCAAGTAAGGAACTTCTGGCCTTTGTTAGTCTTGTATGTTTTTCTAAATTTTAGTTCATTTATATGTTTCGGAGTTTAGTGTGACGTCCATTTTCACTGAACGAGTACACATTTTTTGTTAGGGACCAGTTGAAACCCACCTCCGGTGCGGGATTTTCTCGCTGTGTTGAAGACCCATTGGTTGCCTTGGGCTGTTTTCTGCTCTTTGGTCGGGTTGTTTTCTTTTTGACACATTCCCCATTTCCATTCTCAATTTTATGATGAACTTGAAGTAGATTCTAGGTATTGACGTTGTTTATCACCTTAATTACGTGTTATTGTGTTCTGTTGATTTGTCCGTGTACATGTATTGACGTTGTTTATCACCTTAATTACGTGTTATTGTGTTCTGTTGATTTGTCCGTGTACATGTATTGACGTTGTTTATCACCTTAATTACGTGTTATTGTGTTCTGTTGATTTGTCCGTGTACATGTTTAAAATTTACTGTTTAGTCCATTTATTTGATATAATTATATTTTTGCGTGCCTCGGTATTTATACATCCCACCATTTGTGTTAATGTGCTATGGTCAATGTTGTATTCTTGTCTTCTTTTTTTTTTGCTTATGTACTTTGTCCATAGAGTGTCTGTATGCAATTTTCTTTTTCTTTGTTGAAATAATTTGTGTTTATAGTGATTAAGATTATAACACAATGTTGACTGCTGCACCCCAATTTTTTTACATTTTTATATGTCTGTTTGTTTTGCTCACACATTGTGTCAATATTATGGAATTCTATGCGACTATCATACAAGTGAGAGGTTTAGCTAGCTATAAAACAAGGTTTAATACACCATTTTGTACATAAGGAAATGCTTGTACCAAGTCAGGAATATGACAGGTTTTTTTTCCATTCGTTTGTGTTTGAGCTTTTGATTGTGCCATTTTATAAAGGACTTTCCGTTTTGAATTTTACTTGGAGTTATGTATTTTTGTTATTTCACTTTTTATGTATAAAATTAAGAAGATGTGGTATGATTGCCAATGAGACAACTCTCCATCAAAGACCAAATGACGTATAAGTTAAAACCAATAGGTCACTGTATGAGCAAAACCCATACCACAAAGTAAGTCATATAGTTCCGTTAAATTGACAAAATTGTATGAGCAACCAAAGGTTAAGGTGATCCAGCAGCCAAAATTGTAATCATAAATAATAAATAACTGCACACAAACAAAATCACGTTCGGAATAATTTTCACCTATATTATTTTAATAACCTTTAATTTATTTTAAATGAAAAAAAAAACGATTATTTCTGGTTTAGGGGAAAGCAGAAAACGAAGAAGAACAAGTAATTCAACTTGACTCTGAGAAAAAGATGGATCAAGGTCACTCCCATTTTGATCAAGAAGACATGGTAAAAGGTCATGATGGAATAGCTTCTGTTGCCTGGATACTTTTAGTTGGTGATGCTATTCATAATTTTGTAGACGGTTTGTCCATTGGTGCAGCATTCACCGAAAATGTTTTTACTGGAATAAGTGTATCCTTAGCTGTTATTTGTGAAGAATTACCACACGAATTAGGTATACTCTTCATATCAACTAGGTAGCATTCATGAGGGTAGGAATGCCCTGTATCGTCAAGCGTCAAACGTCCGTTTTTCGCTACCGTTGGCGTCAAATGAGCCTTATTTTTTTATCGTCATTCGTCAAATCTCATTTTGTAGCTACCGTTAGCGTCAAATGGAGTAAAATGTTTATCGTTAACGTTATTTAAACAAATATTTTACCGTCATTCGTCATGTGGGGTACCCCATTCCTACCCCCATTCATTTTTACCAATGTATTATGCAGTAATCACTTTAATAATGTTCTGAAATTTTGTGGTATTAGCAAGCGTACACAATTATAAGCCTGATATCATTGATGTGGGTTTTTTTAAAGATAAAGGTGTAGTTTCTATTTAAGTCCTATAAAGTTGTTCAGGTGTATTTATCATATCATTATTTTGATCAAATGTGGCGGGGTTTAAACAGCTACAACAATGCTACATGTATATCAACGACAGTGGTCATAACTTATCCTGTCAATTTTATCATATGATGCACTGATTACTTATAGATGATAATTCAAGATATATGTATTTCTCTTATACTCATCGTGTTTAGGAACGCATCCAAGAAAATTACTCTCACCGGTCAAATATAGTGATTAATAACAGACAGTCTGATATGATAATGTTACCCTTTGTTTTAACTGATAGAAAGTTTTCCTTCAGCTATAGTCTGCCTTGTTTATATTTAGTTTACAAACATATTTCAGGCGATATTGCAATATTGCTTCATTCTGGATTATCCATGAAGAGGGCGTTATTTTACAACTTCCTGGCAGCTGTCACGTGTTACGGCGGACTAATTATTGGTATCGTAGTTGGTGAAAGCACGGACGCTAACATGTGGATATTTGGTTTTGCTGGTGGATTGTTTGTCTACATTTCATTAGTTGCCATGGTGAGTAAAATTTACTGATAAATACTAATATTCTTACTGAAAACAGATAGAATTAACGTTTTAATTTCTTTCTACGGTCTTATTGAAATGGCTTCACCGATACATTTCTATCATAGAACAAAAATATTAAATATTTTGGCGAGCTTTGTGGATTTTAGTGGCATTAGCTACGATTAAGAAAAAAAAGTTAAAAATACGATTTTTTTTTTTTTTTTTCAAAAATTTATAAAAGCAGAATTGTGAAATGATATTTCACTATTAGCAGTCAGTTTAATTTAATTTTGTCAAAACAAGTTTAAAAATATCCTTAATGTATTAAAGAGTTGCAAGTCAATAATTCAACCTAATTTGAATCCGTATTCATGTGACCTTCAATTTAACCCTTATTTACGCATGTGCTAATAATGATCAGTTATTAAAAAAAATGTCAACATTTCAAAGTCAAACCAGTGCGCCACCGGGAAAAACTATTTTGTTGACTGATTCTGCACACAAAACAAATCGTTCTTATACAGTTGAAACGATTATTTAAATATTATAAAAAAAGAAGATGTTGTATAATTGCCAATGAGACAACTCTCCGCCAGAGACCAAATGACATAGAAGTTAACAGCTATAGATCACCGTGGGTCTTCAACAATGAGCAAAACCCATACCGCATAGTCAACTATAAAAGGCCTTTAAATGACAAGTGTAAAGCAATTCAAACGAGAAAACTAACGGCCTGATTTATGTACAAAATAATGAACTAAAAACAAATAAATATGATATACAGCAACAAACGACAACCACTGAATCACAGGTTCCTGACTTGGAACAGGCACATGCAGAATGTGGCGGGGTTAAACTAGTTTGAAGGCTCCAACTCTCCCCTAACCTGTGACAGTGGGGTAACAGTACAAAATAAGAACAAACTATAAAAATCAGCTGAAATATTGTTTTTTAATCAATGACATGAAATCAACAACCTAGAAAAATAGTCATGAAACAATTGCACGTGCTTGGTTGTGTATTTATATATCATGTTTATGTTCATACCAGGTCATATAAACGTCGGCAGTCTTCGGAGGTCATCTCGGTAGTTAATTAGATGACGTCTAGTCTAAACACATCCGAAATGCTGATATATTACAACGAGTCTCTGCGTTGTAAATTGTTTCTTTCGGACTTCTGTAATTTTGATATTCGTTTTAGTATGTTATTAAGAATTTAAGTTAAATCGGTGAACACGAATTTGACAGGTAATGCCCTGTTAAGCTTCGTATATGTTCAGCACTAAACGATTATCCTTTAAATCGTAAACATAATTCCTAAAACACCCTCCTATAAACGTAAAACATTACCAGAACCAGGTATGAAAATATTTAATCAGAATGCATGTACTGGGACTAATTGGAAGTATGGTCTATTTTATTATATATTTGCCACTGGACGTTTAACTTATATCAACGTCTTGTGAGCTCTGATGAAAAGTTGTCTCATTAGCAATCATACTTCACCTCGTTGTTTTTATATTAATCATTAATTTTGATTATTTCAGATTCCTGAAATGAACGAACAAGCGGCATTATCAAAGAAGAATAAAACAGAAAGTGCAACCCAGGTGTTTTTATATCAGAATGCTGGACTACTTATCGGTTTCCTTATTATTATTCTAATATCTTACTATGGAAAGTACATTGACATGTAAATTGTTCTTTTACTATGAGGGTCTGAATGGGATGTCCTTCATTTATTTATACTTTAATTTTTAAGGTAATATTTATCTTTTCCTTTTTTGCCCAATATACTCAATTCTTTATTTTTTGGCTATTTTTCTCTATTTTCTATTTTTTTTTTTTTGTCAACTTTTCTATAGTATTAGTCTTTCATGCCCTATTCTGTAAACCCCATCTACTATATATGTACTACTTAATAATTCTGTTCACGTTCAAACGAGAAATATGACATTGAACCTGTATAGTTTAGTTATATAAGTCACGCCTTTCAATGGCTTCACTGTACTATTTAAAGAAAAAGAATAATGTAGTGATTATGTCGTGTACAGGTTGTGATAGTACAAAGTACATGGACATGAAACACTATTAAAATTGTAAAGATAAAAGATGTTTCAACTTTATTTTTTTAACTGAAACAGACTTAACACAAAGAAACCAGTTTTGTATCCGACGAGATGTAAGAAGATGTCATGGGTCAAACTCACCGGCCGTTTAAGCTCCGATCCGCATACTACTCTACACTTGGAGTAAAGGAAACTAGTTCCGGAACAGAAACGATCACTGTACGGGGTTTGTAAAGAAACCAGTTTTGTATCCGACGAGATGTAAGAAGATGTCATGGGTCAAACTCACCGGCCGTTTAAGCTCCGATCCGCATACTACTCTACACTTGGAGTAAAGGAAACTAGTTCCGGAACAGAAACGATCACTGTACGGGGTTTGTCACAGGGAAAAACATATTCGAAAACCTACGACGGGGATGGACAGACAATACCATAATTAAAAGGAAAAAAAAAGAGGAAACCCACAAAAATTTGGAGAAAGTACAATTAATAATGGACAATGAAAATTAAAGACTTAGGAACAGATAACAATTTGAATTGATTTTTTTATATTTTCAACAAAGCAATTCAGTTTGCGACTAGGAGAAAATATATTTTAAATCACATAAATCATGCATGTGTTGATCTAATCTAGTTACACAAGACAGAAAATGGATGAATGTCGAAATATCCCACGGTTTGGCTCATTTTTAATAGGTTTAACAATAACCTCAAAAAGAATCGATATAAAAAAAAACCGTACAAGTCTAGAGATGCTATTCGTTATACGGGTTCAAATATTTTATGAACAGGCCACCCAAAGTTCTTTAGTGAATCCACTCAACAACAGGAATGTATTGTAACATGTCAGAATCTTCTTTTTTCCTTTGATCTTTTTGTGGAATAAAATAGAAATGTATGCTCTAAATTGAAGCAACCAAATAATATTGCATGAAAGGTCACATGAGCATATATAATTCAATGAAGATACAACCATGAAATAACCAACAACACTAAAACCAATATTGCATGGGTAAGCTCCGCCTCCTTAGGAAAAGATTACGCCTACAAAAAAGCAACATACAAATGTCAATTTTACTAGGTTTCAAATAAAAAATACAAATCTGTAAATCTCTGCAGGTTTTCTCCCGTCAGTCAGAGAACAAAAAATACAATGTCTACTTCTAAATTTCAAGATGGAACCGAAAAAAATACATATTTCTTTGTACTTTTGAAGCAGAACATATTACCGAAAAAAAACGAAGTTGAACATGATATATCGAAATGAAATGTTGCTCAAATGCAGAGCTAAATGTTAGTTAGTTTTGTAGTTTGAGACGATATCAGCTTTTCTATATCCTCATCTGAAACGGCTGCGGTGAAACGCTCCGGTTCGACATTCTCATCTTTGAAGTTGGTTAGTAAGAAATCTCCTAGGTCAAACGTAAAGAAATCTCCTAGGTCAAACGTGCCTAAGTGGTAATAATCCACAGCTTGCGAAACACTCATGTCATAAAATGGTTCAATATTTTGATGAATTTGCGACAGTCTAATATTCTTCTCTATTATTGCCGACGCGTCTGCTAATGGTATATCTTCCTCGACATCTTCAGTAAAAAAATATTTTAATGGAATAAAATATTTATATTTCCAAAAATACATGGCCCATTAAGGGCATATAAGTGACATCACATCACAGTAAAAAAAATACCGATTTCCGATTAAACGCACAGGTATTTGGGGCATGGATTCCACTTTTTGGGCCACTTGTGGATCGTGTGGATAGTAGAAAAGGTATTGTAATCGACTAGTTATGGATTTTTGAGACTTGGTATACAGTCTACACATTGTAGAATATTGTAAATATGGAAAAATAAATAGATTTTTTTGCGTGAACCCCCTGAGGGGGTTCACGCTTATATATTGGCGGGTTTTGGAAGTGTCTATGGGCCACTCGATATCCTCGGAATCACGATTCTCGGAAGGTTTCGAAAATTTTCCATCATTTATATAGGTAGTTATTTATGTCTTTGATACGGTCCCTCTATGAATAGGCTACAACGTGACATTGTATATTTCAATAATCCGACAAACGGTTCATTTGTAGATTTGAAAGTAAAACAATAAAGACTAGGTTGCATTCTAAAAATCATTTATATGTTAGAACCTATTTGCCCTTTGACAAAACATATCTGTTTTTAATAATGTGAATTTATATTAAATATCAAGTATAATGGTAACGCAATTATATAATTCGCGTTGTGTGTGTTGTATTTAATAAACCTGTGAATAGTTTATTGATATACAATGACCCAGAATAAACTGATTATTTCTGAACGTTTATCATTTGATATTTAGTATTTCAATCATAGCATGAGAAAATGTCGGAAAGAATGAAGAAAAATTAAGAAAAAAAAAATCTAATTCCATTCATATACAGTCCGCCAAAAGTTAAGCACCACCTTTCTTTGTTGCATCGAAATTTTTTTCATTTAAAAACCCAGTTAATCCTCGAAAAAGAGAAAATATTCATGTAGCAATTTTGCTAATATATGCCATAAACAAACCATAAACTTAAGTTTGGTCACTGATGCAGGTTCTATGCATTTGAATTTTGCGTTCATAGAAATAGTGAAAATTACACAAATCAGAAACGGAATTTAAGTTTTACTTTGATTTTATTTTTTTACAACAATTAATCACCCAAAATCATTAAAAGTCTCTAAAAATAATCTTTGGTATGTTCGGCAAATTTAATGTCAATATTTAAGTCAATAGGATGTGTAACCACCTCTCTTCCGGTACAGTTCCATAACACGGCGTCTCATACTCTGTACAAGCCTTCTGAACTTTAGTTGAGCAAATTTATTCCATTCATCAACAATTGCCCCTCTTAAATCGCCAAGATTTTGCAAAGGTGGATCTCTGCGATTGAAATTTCTGCCAATGGCATCCCAGACATGTTCGATAGGGTTCAGGTGTGGAGACATGGAAGGCTAAAAGATAGTGTCAATGTCTTCTTGATCTTTGTAATCGGTTACAATCTTTGCCCTGTATGGTCTAGCGTTGTCGTCAATGTACGAGGGTCTTGACGCAAGTTGGAGATTCTCAAAATGAGGGACTACAATGTTTCTAAGCACCAAATCCCTGTATGTCTGTCTGTTCATGTTACCCTGCAAAATATGCATACCCAGCTTACAACAGTATGAGAAGAAACCCCATACTGTAACACAACCATCAACGATTGCTGTCGTTTTTTGGCAATTGTTGTTTTGGTGATAGGCAGTTTTATTTCCCCGCCAAACTCGTATTCTGCCATCTATTGGTCGTAACAGAAACCAACTCTCATCTGACCAATGAATATTTTGCCAGGTTCTCATGTTCCATCGTCGATGGTCATTAGCCCTTTGAAACCTGATTATACGGTGCCTGGCTGTTAGGGCACGTCTTTTGACAACACGACGTGCTCTTAGGTAGCCTCTATGAAGTCGACAGACCAATGTTCGAACACTAACACGACCACCTGGAGGCCAGTGGTGTCTAAGCTGTGGGGCAGGAGTAAATGGGTTGGCTTTAGAACGACCAATAAGTAGTCTGTCATCACGATAGGTAGTTAAACGGGGTATTCCGGACCTTGGTCTATCATTTAAAGTTCCTGTGTCAATATGATGTTTTAAAAATCTGACAATGACGGTGCGATTAACATTGAAATGGTTACCAATGCTCCTAGTGCTCCTCCCGGCATTTGACATGCCAATTGCTTGTCAACGTTCAGTCACAGATAACTTACCGCTTGCCATATTTCACAGTGACTTGGTGAAGGTCAAATTTCACCTGTACGCGGGACAGCAGGAAGATGATTTAAAGGCATCGAAACGGTGTATTTGTAAAAGTGCAGATGACCATTAATAAAAGGTTGCTTGGCGGCTGTATAGGAGTTTAATTGTTTTGGTCGTAATGAATTTTCTTAGTGTATGCTATAGGCTATTCATAACACCAAATATAAATATTTTTTTCGCAATAGTTAAAAAAATATTGACAGTTATATTTAGGTGGTGCTTAACTTTTGGCGGACTGTATAGATACTACCAGACTAAGAGAATATTCATTGTTAAGGTAAAACTTAGACTGAATTTATTCCTAATAATTATAGAATATAATTAAAATTGTAATGTATACGTGCATTATGTCTCACAGGTTTGATCAGTCATTACATTTATGAAAATTATATGTAACGTATGAGCACCAATGAGCAGGGATGCGAACCCAAAGTTAGCTAAATATCTAAATTTTAAACGGTCGTGAATGAAAAATACTTGCGTGGTTTCAATTCACAAGGATTTTAAAAAAACGTAATTAATATTTTACAATAATCATAACAAAATTTAATTACTATCATAATGTTAATTATTTTTTTTTTATTTTTTTATTTTATTAGTTCAACCTTATAGCATCTAAATATTTGTACTATGATACGGTTTTGAAAATTGTATTCATTGTGTTGGTCAGCTATCCTACACGTCTTGATTCATTCACATTATACATCACCCTGTTCACACGCACACTATCGGTTTGCGTTCACAAAAATTCCGGATAAAATGTCAATGAATCCGGAGTCAAAACAGTTGAGGTAGGTAGTTTGACATCCGAATTCAACTATTAGATTAATTTATGTGATGACGCAAATGCGTATTCTTATCCAGAGTATCAGTGCGTATGCTTTCTATTTACTATTTCTTGCGCAAAAATACCACGTTCATGCATAAATATTAATTTAACTCGCGAATGCGAATTTTCGCTTTTCTTATATAAATTCAGGACACGGCAATAAGAGCTTGCCATGTGACTTTCAAGCACGGTTATCATTGCTTACGGTATTCTGACCTCTAGCTGTTTCTCTTTTGTTTTCTTTTTTGAGTCACTGTCCTGTTATAAACTTTGAAATTTTCGAAATGCCAAGGATTTTCTACCCAAAGAATAGATACTTAACTTCGTACTTTATTCGGCCTTTTTAACTATTTTCATTCGAGCGTCACTGATGATTCTGTGTAGATTTAACTCGCGTCTGGCGTACAACATGTTAATCCTGGTATTGTTTTATATCTCCATGTCTTTTTATATAAATTGGTTCTTTTGAGAGTATGTTCAGGTATTCATAAAACTTCTGAAAATAAGATATTCTTCAAAACCAAGTTTCCCTGAAAAATAGTTGGATTGATTTAAGTAAAATCAGGAAAATCCTTAAAATTTGAGATGTTTTATGAGACCAAAATAAGTCTCTATATAAGAGGTCCAAATGAAGCTGGTGTGTAACTCTCAAGAAAAATATACGAACCTTCTTATAAGTTGCATGCCACAGGGTTTCACTTCACATGGAAAATGGACTTTAAATTTATCTGTACAACATCTACCATGAGTACAGACAATTTCAATAACGTGTTGAGAATATGAAGGCATCCATGCAGGAAAAAAATTATAAAGATGTGATAGATAAACCAAATGCATC